GGTGGGGTAATCTTTCTCTAATTTGTTTATTTAACTATGCAAGCTGTGAAATTTAATTTCCTTTTTTTTTTGTTCAGTGAATAAATGGGTGATCATTTAATTTAGCTTCTTAGTTGATGCAAGAAACTTTGTCCAGATAATGTCTTTGCTTTCAAGCTGAAGTAATTGAGAATGAGAAAAGATTATGTTGCAACTTTTAATGATCATTGTGATGAAATAGTGGATTCTCTATTCAAATGTACTCTCTCTTGCATATGAGTTAAAGTTCTCTTTCTTAGGGTTGTCCAAATTAATGTCTTTTGCTCCAAGATGTCCTTCTATTTAATCAGATATATATAGCTATAAACTAATGAATTGCTACTGCAGTGCAACAACAAAAAGCCTGTGGGGTATGCTTTTGGGAAGGTTATTTGTTGGCATTGGAATGGGACTTGGCCCACCTGTTGCAGCTCTTTATGTGTGCTGAGGTATATATAAGTGACGATAGCATCAAGATTTTTGCTACATTATGAGATCACATTATTTCTCAATTGTAAAGATCTTTTGAACTTTTGTTTTTGGCCAAATACTTATTTTAAATCCTTTTGCTATAATAGGTGTCACCCACAGCTGTAAGGGGTGCTTTTGGTAGCGTAACTCAAATTGCAGCATGTTTTGGACTTATGGGCTCTCTATTTATTGGATTCCCATCCAAAGAATTAGTGGGTTGGTATGGAATGTTAAATGGACTAAGTGAAGCTGATGGATGTGTTTGTGTGTGTTTGAAGAGCTTATGAATATATTTTTACTGTAGAGTTATTTATTAATCTCAGTTTTCTCAATTTCCTTGATTTGGAGTTGTATTTTTGAAAGGTAATTATGTAACATGATCAGGTGGCGGATTTGTTTCTGGGTATCTGCCATTCCTGCTGCAATACTGGCCTTTTTCATGGAGTTCTGCGCTGAGAGTCCTCATTGGCTTTATAAGGTTATCTACTCTTCCATTTCATTTATACGTAACTAACTACATGAACCTAGTCAGCACAACATGCTTTAAACTTCATATTATTTGATCATTTTAGTGAGTTTCATTGATTGAGTGAAATAGAAAATTTTGGTCCTCATCACAGCTTATAGATGTTTAAGTATGAGATTTACCAAGTTTATTGCCTGGATAGACAGACAGATAGCTTCAGAGGTAGAAGCAGTGGCACAACCAGTCATAATAGTTAAATATCTGAAAAGTTACTTGTCGATAGAGTCAAATGATGTTGTGTGGTCAATATTGCCGGCCTTAATTAGTCGCATAAAGCTTGTTACTATTTTTGCTGTTTATTATAACAGTTTTGAATTAAGGAGTTTGAAGTGCTGTTTCTCTTGCGCCCCTTCTGTGGAGACTGGAGAATATTTTGATGTGATGTTGTTTAAAGGCATATTGCCTTTAATCATGCAAACGAATGAGATTCTCTCTCCTTGTTTCTCTTCGTGACTTTGCACCCTCATTATGTTTGATAGCCCCCTAAAAATTAAACAAGGATTAAACAATGTTGATGTCCATTTTCAAAGCATTTTTGGACAACTAACCTATAGCAGGAATAACGTGCCGGGCACATCCCTCTTGTCTGTATTTCTTTAATTCTTTCTATATGTGCTTCGTATTTATCTGATCCGTTAAGATAATCTGTCTATCCTGGCGCTTGTAATTTTTTTGAATTTTTGAATTTGCTCAGAGGGGAAGAAGCAATGAGGCTGAAGCAGAATTTGAGAAGCTCTTGGGAGGGATACATGTGAAACCTGCAATGACTGAACTGTTGAGGACTGGAAGAGATGATGAGACTGATAAGGTGAAACTTTCAGAATTACTCTGTGGCCGTCATTTCAAAGGTACATATTATATCTATCTATCTATATATCTATATATATATATATTGTTTAGGTTGTTTGTACAACATAGTTTCTTCTAGATAAATGCTTGATAGTTAATGAGTAATGCTTTTGCAGTGATGTTCATTGGATCTACGCTTTTTGCTTTACAGCAGCTATCTGGCATAAATGCTGTTTTTTATTTCTCTTCGGCTGTCTTTAAAACCTTTGGTGTCCCATCTGGCCTTGCAAACACATGTGTAGGAATTTGCAATTTACTGGGTATGTTTTTCTTTTTTTTTAGTCCAAACTATTTTTACTGCTTTTGTGGTGATTTCTCTATTTGACTGATCATGTTGTTTGTAACTTTAGGGTCTGTTCTTGCAATGATTCTAATGGATAAACTTGGAAGGAAAGCGCTTCTCCTGTGGAGCTTTTTGGGCATGGTATGGAGGAAAAAAACCTGAATACCAGAATATTGCTGAAACTATATTTTGAAAGATTGAATTTCATTATACTCTTTATTGTAATTTTCTGAGCCATGTTAATAGTAGGCGCATGCATATGACACTATTGCCAAGTTCAGTTCATCTCCAAATGTAAAATTTCCCATAGAATTTGACTTTAGGTCATGAGAACTCTATTATCTGACCTTACTCTTTTTGTTGGTTTAGGCGGTGGCAATGGGTCTCCAAGTTATTGCTGCAAGTTCTTTGGCGTCAGGGTCTGGAGCAATGTATTTATCTGTTGGTGGCATGTTGATGTGAGTGATCAGAGAACTTCACATCTAATTGTGCGGTAAAAAAGAGTAAATGAATTATCAGAAATCATATATCATACATTAAATTAAAACACACACACACAGAGCAACAGGAAAACGTAATGGCGGCATGTAACTTGGACATCTCTTTATGGGGGGTGTAATTTATTACTAAAATGGAGAAAGATCTAATTCAAATTATTAAAAAAAATCATTTTTTATGATGGGTTTGCTAAAAGTGGAATGGACCATGCAGGTTTGTCCTGACATTCTCTGTGGGAGCCGGTCCCGTACCTTCTCTTCTGCTATCAGAAATATTACCCAGCAGGATCAGGGCAAAGGCATTGGCAATTTGCTTGGCTGTGCATTGGGTAATTCGTTTTGAATTTGTTCCTGTTTAATGCTTTCAGCGGACAATTGTTCATTTTTTCTATTCCCTTTTTTGACCTATCTCATGAAATTAGAAACTAGTTTATAATGTTTGCCCTCACTGCATTTTCCATTACCATATTCACCTTGGACAGATCTGCTAGTTATGTTTATAATGTGAGTTTTAAAACTAACTTCCACTGGCAATCTTTCCTGGGAGTGTTTGCGGCTCCTTTGTCTGTGAGCTAAGCTTATGAATCAGATAATTGGTGACCTAATGCTACATCACTATGAATATTGAGATGGTTATTAGTTTGAGTCTTGATGATCCTGTCGTGACATGTGTAATTCTGTTCACTTTCATGGCTCGTGTATTAGTTTGGTTGAGGTTAAGTAGCGGTGAGTTACTCTAAATATTGACGATTTAAAGTATGGTCATGATAATCCTGTCGTGACATGTTTAATTCTGTTGAGTTTCATGTCATTTTTTACTACGGTTATCTGTATTATTTTCTTCCTTATTTCTCTGCTCTATCCTCTTTCTTGCCCAATGGAATCAAGTTCAGAGATTGCTGATGCGCTTTTCTTTTACAGATGATTAATTTCTTTGTTGGTCTGTTATTTTTGCGCTTGCTGGAACAACTCGGGGCACAACTCCTGTATACTATTTTTGGCGCATTCTGTCTGGTGGCAGTGATATTTGTGAAGAATAATGTTGTGGAAACAAAAGGAAAGTCACTACAAGAAATTGAAGTTGCACTTCTTTCACAAGAAGCAGCATAAATGGTTAAAGAGGGGCAAGATGAGTTAGGTATATATTCATATTGGTCCCTTTTTCAACCAAAAAAGTACTTACCTTGTTGCACACATCAATAACTTGGTCAACACAAAAACTTAAGCCCCTAAAGAGAAGTCCGTAAATAGCTTTCTAAGAGCATACCACTTCTCAAGAAAATCCTGTGGATTTGAAGCATACTCTTGCTTATAGTTTTAGCCAAGAAAAGATGTGGTTGCAAATATTAAATTCTAAACCACTTTCAGGGGTTTCAATTAAGGATTTCTTGAAAAGTTTCAAGAGTTTCAAATTCTTAAGTGCACATTCATGAATAGTTTTTTTTTTTTTTTGGGGCTACGTATAGGTATCTTCTTATTAGAGCCAATCTTATTTGAAGTGCTGTCAGGTATTAAATATGAGTATCTCTTTCAGCAGAGGTTCAAATGTTGATTTGTCACGTTGTGATGGATGAGCTTCTTCTGTTAAACTTAACCCATTTGGTTCATGAATAGCATTTTATAATGGCTTAAATTGACTTCTTATGGGGATGGATTGGTATCAACAGAAAGCCTTTATGCTGAATACAAGAGTCCAACAAAGAAAAAAATAACAAAAAGCCAAACTAAAGGATTGATTTAAAGACATTTTGTGTTGGGACTAATGCTATATATTTCTGTGTTTTGCAGGGAATCTTCTGGCACATGTACCTGTCCTCTTGGAAGGGTCACCATATATAACGTAATTCTATTAATAGCTTACTAGAAGGCCTATGTAAATTTCGAGTGTTTTTCTATGTTTCTTGTCAAATGTAAGATTGATGGCCACATTGTGATTAATGATCTTTGAGGACGACTATAGCTACACAATTGATGTCAAAATTTTGTTATTCTTCACTTGGTCGAAGGAATTCACGGAGGGTTGAACGTACAATTTCATACTTACGCAAGATTTAAGGAGATGCGAATTGTCAATTGAGCCAAGCGGTTCTGACAGTTAAGGTTAGTGCTAGGGTCTGGCAACTATTGATATTTTATTTTTTGTCATTCTTCACTTTGAAGAAACTCGTACGCTCAGTGCATTCATGAAACATCGAAATGGAGCTGGAAAACGGGTCAAGCTAGCCCTGCAAGGCCTGTCTTTCATGGACCATAGGTTTAAACGGGCTGGCTCGTTTATGAAGCCCAGCCCATGAACTCGTGGGCTAGTCCTTGGACTTTTTGCCCGTTTAGCAAAAAAAATTTCTTACAAGTTTTTAAAAAAATAATGATAAAATGACAAAATGATTTATTAAAGATATTGTCTTGAAAAAAAAGAAAGAAAAAACTAGTAGTATGGATATTAGCTCTTGAGATATATGATATATGATTGAGTTCTATTTTTTTCATAATAAATTTCTTTAAAGTTAATTTTCCTTAATTTTTTTTCCATGCTCTTTTTAACTTTTTAATAAAAATGTAATTTCTAAAGAAAATTTGTTATTATGCTAACTCACATGTTACCTTTTTTTAAGTTGAAGATGTAAATTATTTTTTAATTTCAAATTAAAAATTTTATTTATATTAAAATCATAGAATACTGTAACAAAAAAAAAGGGAAAATTGCAAATAAAGACCCTCCAATATATAAAATAGCTATTAGGGACCCTGAATTTAGAAAATAGCTTCAAAGGACCCGATCCCAAATTGCAAATATGAAATGATGGTAGAATGTCCAAAATGCCCTCTGTTTTTTTCTCTTTCTTCCTCTCCAGATCATCTTCTTCCCGACCTTGCCTCCTCACTTTCTTCTCTCTCTTCGTTCTCTCTTTCCTCTCCAAGTTTCCTTCCCTCTCCTCACTCCTTTCCCAAAGTATATGGAACTCACAATGTCTTTCGGTAGTTCTCTCTTCATTGTCATCCCCCGTCTCTTTCTTCTTATCTTGCTTAGCTTCTCTTTCGTCGATAATGAAGCCTCTTCCATCATTCTCTCTGTTGCTGTGGAAGGAGAGGAGAGTCGGGGAGTTTGAGGGAGAGTGACAGTCATTTTAATCCTTGTAATGTTTGCTTCCAATGTGTGCGATGATTGCTTAGTACTGAGACAACGCCCAACAAATCTGGACTTTTATTCTTCATTTCTATTTTGATTTTCAGCTTGTGTTCATAATTGAAAATAACAAGTTTGATGAGTTGTTGAAAATAACAAGTTGACAAGTTCTGATATCCACTTCACGACAAGTTCAGTAATGCGAATAACAAGTTTAGCAAGGCAAATAACAACTTCTGATAAGCAATTCATAGAAATTCGAGTTTCTGTGTTAAAATGACAGCATTTTCAGATTTCTTTAGCAGATGACAAGTTCTGATACACAATTCATGACAAGTTCAGTAAGGCGAATTACAAGTTTAGTAAGGCGAATGACAACTTCTGATAAGCAATTCATAGAAATTTGAGTTTCTGTGTTAAAATGACAGGTTCCCATTAGGTTTTCATACTTTTTTCTATCAAAATGACTGGATTTCCACATTGATTTATCAAATGACAGGTTCATAATAGAAAATGATAAGTTTCCATAAGATTTTTATACTTTTTTTGCTGGAATTGCAGTTCATACATTTTTTTACAGCAATCACTTCTGATAAACACAAAATGACAAGTTCACAATGAAAAATAACAAGTTAAGTATAGCAAATGACAAGTTCTCATAACGTTTTCATACATTTTATGCTAGAATTACAATTTGCACATTTCTAACAGCACCCACTTCTGATAATTGCAAACAAGCTCTAAATTGTGGAAATCAAGTATGATGATTGTATTTCGGTGGATAAATCGATCAAGGTGTAGGATGTGAGGAACAAACGAACCCTAAATACAGTGCTAAACGAATAAAGTTCTTGTTCATATGATATGACAATTTACATTTGGGATTTCATGGTTGAGGATGCACTAGTGAGTGGATATGATCATCGTAGTGCATTTGCCACTGGTGTTGATATGAGCATGCTTCTTGAGGGGCTTATGAGAGTTCTGGTGCTATAGTTTTATACATTATGAGGAAATGAGAGGTGAAATTGATTATGAAAGATGTTAATCAAAAGTTGTTGCTGTCAGAAATTTGCACATTGTTATTTCAGCAGAGAAATTTACGTTTGTATGAAAACATGATGGGAACTTGTCATTTTACATACTTAACTTGTCATTCGCTATTATGGACTTGTAATTTACTGTTTATCAGAAGTGTTTGCTGTCAGAAATATGCACATTGTTATTTTAACAGAGAAATTTACAATTGTATGGAAATGTTATGGGAACTTGTCATTTTACATATTTAACTTGTCATTCGCTGTTGTGGATTTGTCATTTACTGTTTATCAAAAGTGGTTGCTATCAGCAATGTACAAATTGTAATCCCAGCAGAAAAAGTATGAAAATGTATGAAAACATTATGAGAACTTGTCATTTGCCATACTTAACTTGTTATTTTCCATTATGAACTTGTCATTTCGTGTTTATCAAAAGTGAGTGCTGTCAGAAATGTGCAAATTATAATTCCAATAGAAAAAGTATGAAAATATATAAAAACATTATGGGAATTTGTCATTTGCTATACTTAACTTGCCATTTTTCATTCTGAACTTGTCATTTTGTATTTATCAGAAGTTGTTGCTATCAGAAATGTGCAAAACTGTAATTCCAGCAAAAAGAGTATGAAAATATATAAAAATCTTATGGAAACTTGTCATTTTCTATTGTGAACCTGTCATTTGATAAATCAATGTGGAAATCTAGTCATTTTGATAGAAAAAAGTATGAAAACCTAATGGGAACCTGTCATTTTAACACAGAAACTCAAATTTCTATGAATTGCTTATCAGAAGTTGTCATTCGCCTTACTAAACTTGTAATTCGCCTTACTGAACTTGTCATGAATTGTGTATCAGAACTTGTCATCTGCTAAAGAAATCTGAAAATGCTGTCATTTTAACACAGAAACTCGAATTTCTATGAATTGCTTATCAGAAGTTGTTATTTGCCTTGCTAAACTTGTTATTCGCATTACTGAACTTGTCGTGAAGTGGATATCAGAACTTGTCAACTTGTTATTTTCAACAACTCATCAAACTTGTTATTTTCAATTATGAACACAAGCTGAAAATCAAAATAGAAATGAAGAATAAAAGTCCAGATTTGTTGGGCGTTGTCTCAGTACTAAGCAATCATCGCACACATTGGAAGCAAACATTACAAGGATTAAAATGACTGTCACTCTCCCTCAAACTCCCCGACTCTCCTCTCCTTCCACAGCAACAGAGAGAATGATGGAAGAGGCTTCATTATCGACGAAAGAGAAGCTAAGCAAGATAAGAAGAAAGAGACGGGGGATGACAATGAAGAGAGAACTACCGAAAGACATTGTGAGTTCCATATACTTTGGGAAAGGAGTGAGGAGAGGGAAGGAAACTTGGAGAGGAAAGAGAGAACGAAGAGAGAGAAGAAAGTGAGGAGGCAAGGTCGGGAAGAAGATGATCTGGAGAGGAAGAAAGAGAAAAAAACAGAGGGCATTTTGGACATTCTACCATCATTTCATATTTGCAATTTGAGACCGGGTCCTTTGAAGCTATTTTCTAAATTCAGGGTCCCTAATAGCTATTTTATATATTGGAGGGTCTTTATTTGCAATTGTCCCAAAAAAAAATCAACAAATGCTAATCAAGAAAAACAGCTTTTGAACCATACATCTACAATTGCTATAAAATGTGTAGATTATGCTCAGTGAGATAATACTCATTTTTATTCACAATGATGGCTTTTAAAATAATATTAATAGATTGTAATCATTTTATATTATATTTATATTAATTTTTCATGTATAATAACTTTTTTTTTTTGGGGATTAAGTGACAAAATTGTAATTTTATCCATTTTCTTCAAATATGCTAAGTGACTTGCTATGAGTAACCAGGTGTATTCCTTTTTCTATTTCAATCATAGGGCTTTCTTTTTTAGGTTAAAAAATAAATATAATTATAATATTTTTTTCAAGGCATATATATTTTCTAATTGGAGACAATTCTTTTCGAGACACTGTTGGGTACCAAATGTAGGCACATTTTCCAACAGGAATTCAAACATTGATTTGTCATGTTGTGAGGGACTAGTCCCTTCTGCTAGACCCAACTCTTGTTGATTAAATGGGCTGGCCAGGGGTATTAGAGGGTTAGCTTTTTTATTTTTTAGTTCTACAAGGCCAGCCTTTCTAAGCTTAACTTATATTTAGAGGCCTCAAATTATAAGCTTGGCCTTTATTTTAAATAAGTTTAAATGGGTTCGGTCTGTTTTCTCGACTGTAGCCGAATACACAATTCCATAGTAAGATTTAAGAAGGGGCAAGGTGTTAATTGAGCTGGCAGATTCGATAGAAAATTCTTCACTTAGACAATATTGGTTTGAAGACGTTGAGATGCAATACGAAAAGTGCTGGTAGAGAATTAAGATCCATTATTTCAATTTGTCAAAATGTTCATTTTGCCTAGTGACTTCAAATTTATTTTTTGGTTGAAAAAACCAACTCACGGAGTTATAATGATATAAATGAAAATAGTAATCTGCGCAAAATATGACCTGTTTTGGAATTTTAAAATACTACCTACTAAAAATTCTTTAAAAAAATCCAATGTGGAGGTTATGAAGTTGTGATGTTCAAGAATTGGCTTCTACTATTCATCATTTTGATGAATGGAATGATTAATAATTTTGTGAAGTTAAGAATAACCAAATTCAGGTCATAAATTCTTTTTTTTTTAATGGGAGAGGAAAGAACACAAACAACTAAGGATTAACAGAGGAAAGGAAAGAAGCTGCAGCCATATCATGCTGGAAGAATTGGCGACACGCTGCCGGGGGCTCAGACAAGATCACTAAGTTATTAGACAAAGCTTGAGCTTCGTTGGCGATCATATCAGCAACTAAGTTTGCCTCACGGTCACAGAAAGCCAGGGCCACCTTCCACTGCTGATCTAGCATACTCCGAATTTCAGAAAGCAAAATGTAGTCAGGGTGATCTTGCAAGGCTCCAGCATTAACCAGGTTTAGCAATTCTTAAGAATCACATTCTATAAGGAGGGACCGCCAGCCCCACTCCCAAGCTAGCTTGAGGTCCTAAAGAACCCCCCATGCCTCTGTCGAGAGACAAGAGCCAATCCTAAACTTATACATGAAACTGCGGACAAAGCTCCCAGTGTTATCATGAGTAAGGCCACCACACGAGCAAGCACCAGAGGCAGCATTGAAGGACCCATCCGTGTTGAACTTCAAGGTACCACATGCGGGCGGAACCCATCGAACCCCACCTTCTAGAGGCCTCTTGCAAGAACCCAGATTGACAGATCCCCAAGCGAGAACACATCTAGAACGTTCCATTATGTCAGTACAAGATGCAGAGAATCCATTGAAAATGCGATCATTTTGAGCTAGCCAGAGGCGTCTGCATAACATAACAAACCACCAACTCCACTTGTGTCCACAGAGCCTTAGCGAAGTCTTGAGATTCCCAGTTAACCACTCCAAGGAATTGCTGACTACGAAGAAGGATGACTGCATGTTGTGTGGGACAAACAAGCACCATAAATGCTTCGAAACCTAACAGTCTCTAAGGGCGTGCAATACAGATTCTAGGATAAGACCACAAACGCCGCATACTCTAGTGTCATGAAGACCACATCTAAACCTGGCTTCGTTCGTGAGAAGACGGTCGTTGACACATAGCCACATAAAGGAATAGTAACACTGTGGGATCCTGAGCTTCCACAACATACGCCAGATACTATGATGAGAAGATTCACTACACCCACTAATATAGTCGTAGGCTGACTTAACTAAAAAGGTCCCATTTAGAGACCAACACCAAACTGGGCTATCCTCCCTACTATCATGAAGGTGCACGTGAGAAATAGCTTCAACAACATGATGCGTGAGTAGATCTTTGAGAGCATTCCAATCCCAGGACCCCGAAGCAGACACTCAGTCGCTCACTTTCCAATCCACAGTGTTGGTGGGGATCTCTGGCGCCAAGTCCTTAAGCTTCCCCAGATGGGGGACCCAGGCATCCTTCCAAGGAGATACTGATCAGCCATCACCAATCCGCCAAGCCAGCCCCTCCTTCACACTTTCCTAGTTTGCTTGGATACCAGACCATGTCCTAGATGCCACCTTGTGACATTCAACTTTAGGGATAGTATCGACCCCACATTTGTACTTTTCACGTAGGAACTTGACCCACCGTAGGTCTCTACGCTTGATTAATGACCAACCTAACTTCATCATGAAGCCGTTATTTTGATGTTTGGCTTATCGGAATCCAAGCCCTCCATCGGACCTTCGTTGGCAGACGTTGTCCCAAGATACCAAGTGAATCTTACGGCTCGAGCTAGTGCTACCCCACAGGAAGTTCCTACGCTTCTTATCAATCTTATCACAAGTATCTTTCGGGAGGGGAACGGTTTGCATTGCAAAAGAAGGCATAGTCGTGAGGACTAAAGAAACCAAGGTGGTTCTCATAGCCAGTGATAAACTATTTGCTTTCCACAAGGATAGTCTACTGTCCATCTTATCCAGGATCGCCTTATATGATGCCTTGGTAACCCTCTGGTGGATAACGGGCATGCCAACATATTTGTCGAGGTCAAGGGTGGAAGTGAAGCCTATAAAATTACTAATTTCCTTTACTCTAGTGTGATTGACGTTCGGGAAAAGGACACACAGGTTTTGTTGGCATTCACTTTCTACCCCAAAACTGCGCAGTAATCATAAGTCATAAATTCTCAAATAACAATAGAAAGGGAAGATTTTTCCCGAAAAAAAATTCTTCATCTGGTTAACTAAGATAAAATTTATTAAATTTATAATTTTCATCTTGAGAGGTTGTATGCTCGAAACTATTATACAAATTAAGATGTTTCAAAGTTATGTATAAAGGTGACTGTATTCGAGAAAAATTGTAAAAATATGCACAAATAAAATATTGATTAATAAAGATAATATGATTTGTAGCATAAAAAACAAATTAAGTTGGTGAGAGATGTATTATCTATAACTTTATAAGTGATTAAATTATATATACATATATGTCAAATTAAGCAAAAAGAGATTAAAAAATAAATTTTCCCATTTTAATTTAAGAAATATAGAAATAGAGAAAAAATTTGATGTAATATATATGATGAAGATTAGTATAATTATTACTAATTAAATATTATAAGTAAATTTTAAAAATTATTAAAAATAAAATAATAGACATATTTTTACTTGATTGGAAATAAGTATATAAAGTACTACCTTCGGTTCTAATCTAATTATAAGATCACATTTGTATCTTTTTATTTTATTTTATACAACACATTTGTATCTTATAATTAGTGGTATAAAATAATACACATATCTTGATTTGATGTCCGTATGCACTCAAGGCCCAATATGGTCCGACCCGACAAAATCCAGCCAATATGCCAACTGAGGTCGGTGCCGCCGTCCCGCCCAATGTGGTCCGACCCGATAAAATCCGCCCCACTCCGGCACTCCGCATCATTTCACCCTTCTCCCCTCTTCGAATCGCCTGTAGCTCCTTCGGCCTCCGTGTGCCCGTCCGTGCTCGCCTCACCGCGGTTTCGTCGCCGTAAAGGCGAAATTGTAAACGTCGGTGGCTCTCCTTCACTGTCTTCCCTGTCTCTCGTTATTCTTCTTGTGTTTTTTTGGTTAAATATAATTTCCATGTTTATTGATCTGCTTGTCTCACTGAGTTCTTGTCTTGGTATTCTTTTGTTTGATTTTTGTTTAGATTTTGCTTTAAGCTGCACTCATGTTGCGTCATCATTTTGCAGGTTGGTTTCGATAGCTAGCGCCTACTTGTATGCCCTATTTTTGCCCCAACGTTGAAGAAAGGGGCTAACAGGCTTTGGAATTTGTTTTGAAGTCGCCGTAATGTTGGGTTCATTACCGATATTGCCTCTTCCTGCTCCTCCCTCTGATGGAAATCTAGGTCCTCGCCCTGAGGCTCAATTGCCTGAGGAGAGGGAGGATGAAAAATCGTCTAAGGAGGAGGAGGCCAAATCGAATTCTACATCAGTTGCTACGCACACTAGAACTATTGGAATCATACATCCCCCTCCAGATATTAGAACTATCGTGGATAAAACTGCCCAGTTCGTTGCTAAAAACGGGCCCGAATTTGAGAAAAGGATCATTGCAAATAACACCGGCAATGTTAAGTTCAATTTCCTGAATTCATCGGATCCCTATCATGCATACTATCAACATCGGTTAGCAGAATTTCGTGCCCAAAACCAATCTTCTACCCTGCAATCTCCTTTGCAACCTGTAGATTCAGCTTTGTCCGAACCAACCTTATCTGCACCAGCCTCTGACATTAATGATGCTGCAGCAGCACCAACAGCAGCAACAAAGCCCGACCCCTCCTCTCAGTTTAAGCCTGTGAGGAAAGTACTTGAACCTCCAGAAGCTGAGCAGTATACAGTTAGGCTTCCTGAAGGGATTACAGGGGAAGAGCTAGATATTATAAAGCTCACGGCACAATTTGTGGCTCGAAATGGAAAATCATTTTTGACAGGGTTGACTAGTAGGGAGGTTAATAACCCTCAATTTCATTTCTTGAAACCAACCCACAGCATGTTTACATTTTTCACTTCCCTTGCGGATGCATATTCCAAGGTTTTGATGCCTCCGAAGGGGTTGACAGAGAAGCTGAGGAAAAGTGTTTCTGACATGACTACTGTCCTCGAACGGTGTGTGAACAGGCTGGAATGGGAGCGTTCACAGGAGCAAGCTCGGCAAAAGGCTGAGGATGAAATAGAGCAGGAAAGGATTCAAATGGCGATGATAGATTGGCATGATTTTGTAGTGGTTGAAACAATAGATTTTGCTGATGATGAGGATAAGGAGCTGCCTCCCCCAATGACGCTTGAGGAGGTTATAAGGAGGAGCAAAGTTTCAGCCATGGAAGAGGATGTAGTTGAACCTGAAAAGGAAGTTGAAATGGAAATGGACGAGGAAGAGGCCCAACTTGTTGAAGAGGGCATGAGGGCAGCTAGTTTGGAAGACAAGGATGAGGGGAAGAAAGGTGGAGTCAATGTTACAGAGGAGCCTGAACCACCTATGAGGATTGTGAAAAACTGGAAAAGACCAGAGGAAAGGATTCCTGCAGAAAGAGATCCAACAAAGTTTGTTGTTTCCCCTATTACTGGTGAGCTAATCCCAATTAATGAAATGTCGGAACACATGCGGATTTCTCTCATTGATCCCAAGTTTAAAGAACAGAAAGAAAGGATGTTCGCCAAAATTCGTGAGACAACACTGGCTCAGGATGATGAAATCTCAAGAAACATTGTTGGACTTGCACGGACACGTCCTGATATCTTTGGTACTACTGAAGAGGAGGTTTCCAATGCTGTCAAGGCAGAAATTGAAAAGAAGAAAGATGAGCAACCTAAGCAGGTTATATGGGATGGTCACACTGGTAGCATTGGGCGAACTGCGAACCAAGCCATGTCACAGAGTTTGGGTGGTGAGGATCAAAATTATTTTGCTAATAATGAGGCTAAAAACCTCCCTGGCCCTGCTGCACCTCCTCCTCGACCTGGTATGCCTTCAGTTCGTCCTCTTCCGCCACCCCCTGGACTAGCACTGAATCTTCCCCGTGTTTCTCCCCCAACAGTCCAGTATCCTGCCCCAACCAGTGGTGGTCTTTCAGTTCCTCCTCCAAGGCCTCCGTTACCCATTATGCCATCTGTTCATCCAGCTCATCATCCAATGCCAATGACTTCTGGGCAGCAAACATTCATGTCCAGTCAACCACCTCCATTGCCTTCGTCATCAGTTTCTGTGAATGGACCTGTTCCTCCACCCCCAGGTTCTCAATTCACTCCTGTTTCAATTCCTCGACCTTATGCTTCTCTTCCTATTCCTCCACCTGGGATGCCTATGATGCCTCCACCACCTCTGCCTCAAGGAGTGCCGCCCCCGCCCCCACCTGAGGAAGCTCCTCCTCCGCTTCCAGAAGAACCAGAACCAAAGAAGCAGAAGCTTGATGATTCTGCTCTTATCCCAGAAGATCAGTTTTTGGCTCAGCATCCGGTAGGGACTTTGATACCATCTTTTTTTAATGATAATGAATTAATGATAAATTAGCTTTTAATTTACAAAAAATAGCGACAATATTTATCCTTGCTGACATTGTCTTGGTGCAACCAGGGACCAGTTCGTATTTGTGTGTCAGTTCCTAATGTTGATGAAGGAAATCTCAGAGGACAGGTTCTGGAGATTACCATGCAATCTTTGTCTGAAACTATTGGCAATCTGAAGGAGAAAATTGCTGGGGAGATTCAGCTCCCTGCTAACAAACAGAAATTGAGTGGAAAACCTGGCTTTCTCAAGGATAATATGTCACTTGCTTATTACAATGTGGGAGGAGGGGAGGTGCTCTCTCTCACATTAAGAGAGCGTGGTGGTAGAAGGAGATGAGTTCATGCCTGCCCATCTGTTCAAGGTTGTCGTTGGAGCTTTTGCCTTATTATTGGGCATATAATTTCTCATAATATTCATAAACTCTTTGGTGCTTCATTAATGTTGGTGACTTTATGTGTAAGCTAGTATTGGCAAGGTTTCAGGATCTTATAATTGCTTGGCAACATTGATGTTAACTTTTAAGTACTGATTCGTGTACCTAGGCCTTATCTTTTGTGAGCAGTGGGAAGTAATGCGATTCCTTTTATATGATTAAGTCAATATTTATACTATCAAGTATCATTTTCTCTTGGATTTCAGTTGATTCCATGCAAATTTAGTAGATTGTTTCCGTTAGAACTCTGCTGCAATTAGTGAAGGGCCGTGTTTTTTTCAATAGTTTGTTCATTTTTAGTGTTGTTTCAAATTTGAATGGGAAGTAGTGATTTAGATTTTTCTTCTCTTCTAGTGTTTAGGTCTTCTTATAGTGGGTATGCTCATACGCCATCACAGTTGAATGGTTGGTTTGATTGGAGGACCTTTTAGGTGCTGAGCTTATGCACCTTTAGCTGGTGCTTCATGTTTGGGGTTAACAGGGTTAGTCTTATTTTCCTTCCATTTATGCTTCACGTAGCCATTCCATGCAATGGTTGGGATGTTTGTTGTTGTTGATTGTGTTGTTTTCTCATAACAGACGTTCTCCATGGACTTATGGGAAGGGCTGTTCAGCTTAGCTGATTTATCCATGAATGGCATGTGGAAGGTAGAACGGTCTGCATTACCTTCTTCGCTGTAATATTATTGTATTTTATTTTTATTTTTTGAGCTATCTGATGGCAGTTGTGCCTACTAATTTTTGCAGCATGGAGCAGGTCTGGTTTCGTCATTTTTGGGGAATTCTTGAAAAATTATGAGCAAGATTACGTTGTGTTTTTCATGGTTAAGCTAAGATGAATTTCAGGTCTTAAATCTTGTTTTGCTAATATTTATTTGAGATTCACTTTATCTTTCTACTGGGTCGATTCATAGCTCTTGAATCCTTAAGATAGTCAGTATGATCCATTAGAGCCACTTGTCTGTCTTTATGCTTCTTATAATTCTTCTCTCTTATGGCGTTGACCGAGTTTTGTCATGGAAGCAGAAGACCTCTGCATTGATGACTAAAGGTTAGAGCAAAACGCAAGTGATTAGCTCTGTGAGCATCGCATATGCATCGTATTTGTATATACAGAAAACCAAGCCTGATCAATGAATACACATTTGAGTCAAATTATACGCTAGCGGATTGTGATCTGAACAACCAACTCTTCTGATCCCAAAGTTGGCCATTCATTTTTTACCTTTGACACACCGTTCCCATGGCCTGTGTTCCTTCTATGCATCATCTTTTGGGCAGTTTTTATTATATTTTTTTTATTTTTTGTAGTAGCTAGGATTTCAAGTAGTAGGAAACCAAGATGATGAGTTTTATGTCTGTCGTGCTATATTTGATGTTTTGGGAATGGGACATTCGTTTGACTTGATGCGTGATCTCAGAGTGACATGAACTTATGAGATCGTTTGACCTGGCCTAGTTTTGGGCCCATGTCAATCTTCACTCGTCTTATATATGTGGAGTCTCATTTTTCCTCTGGCGATGTCTTAGTTTCAGTGTCACTCTATATCATTTCTTCTTGGAAGGTGATGCTGATGGTAACTCTGACCACTGATGGAAGTAGCAAAGTCGTAATGTTTTTGCATTGACCGGAATGACATTTGAGTTATTTGTGATGAAAGCACCGTCGATGGTATCAGTGCTAATGGAATTGGCCATGGTAATTCACTCAAAAAATTTGGCCAGTCTTACAGCTGAAAAAAGGGGGAAGAAAGTGGCTATCTTCCTTCGTTGAAGAATGATTGTACCATATATGTTATGTAAGACACTGATATGGCCCAGATCTGAATGATGGGTGCTACAGTAGTAAGCTTATCATTTGTCTGCCTCGAGAGCTTGAATGATGTCATTGGACGTGCCCTGGGCATGGATAGCTGTACGTAGAGAAGTCATTATATTGCGTTTTGGATTTGTGATTTAGTTATGGTTTGTTTGTGATTTTGGCATGATGATAAAGGTACAGAAGGTTTTCTTTTTGCCCCCTTTTTGAGGGAAGTAACATATGGCTCTTTTATGAGAGATGTAGTGGTATGAGAATCAAGGGAGGCATATTGGATAGGCATGGGAATTGGGCTTGATGTTGGTTACATTGGTTCTTAAGAAAAAGTCCTGTACAGGTCAGGAGAAGGATGCATTCAGGGCTGCAGGCCAACATCTACAAGTATGCTTGTGGTATCTGGTTTCCTGTCCATTGCTCAGAGAAAATTAAGCTACAGTCGATGAACAGTCAGAAATTTTTTTTAGTTTTATACTATCTTCGGTCTTAATTACAAACGAGATTTTATAATTGAAACTAAAGCTAGTATTTTATTTAAATTAGTATGGATGATAATTAATTCAGTATGATAAAAATATTTTCTCTCGTTAAATGTCTTTTAGACGTTCCCATGGATTGTAGCTTACGCAATTCGCAATGGGAGGCGTAAACCTTTTGGTGATATAACTATATGCTTCTTAATTTAATAATCATATGACACTATTTTAGTCATGTGAATTGGTGGAAATAAATGCATGTAATATATTGAAAAAAATAAATATAAATATTAGGCACAATCTTTATCTGCGAAAAATTATCATTGCGCCTTTTGTTTTGCCGAAAGCATTTCACCATTATTTTGTCGTTTACTTCTTCCTCCTTTTTATTTAATGGCTAAAGACGCTTGTTACTTGAGTCTGCGAGATCGATGAGGCTGCTACAAAACTTGTGTTTTGAACGGATGTTTTGTTGTAGTTTAAAGAATTTAACAAATTGGTTAAAAGTACCAGATTATAAATTTTATTGGTCATAAAAGCTTGAATCTGAACATTACTGGTATTTTCTATGCATGAAAACATATTAGGCTTTAGTGACCACTAAAATACCCAAATAGTTATTTTGACCAATTTTCTGGAAATATTTTTGCTTTAATTTTCAATAAGATGTTTAACGCGTCTAATGATATTGCCTCCCCCCCGGGGGGCCGAATAAAGGGCTCCTTAAGCCCAATCAAACTTGTAATACAATGTGAAAAAATTATTGTTAAATTATTATATGACGATATGTGGCCGGCCCATTTGGTAGGATAAAGTTTTGTTGTTATTTAATCTTTTTTTTTTTTTGAATTTTGACTATCTGATTCTGATTAAATTATCATATTTGAAGTTTTCAATTTGTAAGTCTTTTTTGTCCTCCCCATCTCACTGGGGCTCATGTTTTTATTAATTTTACCATATAAAATCTAAATCACGCAAAATTATACTATGATACATAAGAATTCAACTTCCAAAATTTTAATTTGAGTAAAATACACTAACTATCTTTTTATTTTTTATAATTAATAGTTTGGATCTAAGTATATATTTTTAATTTTTAAATTAAAAAAAAATTGTATAATTAAGACAAAATATAAGAGAGGATGGAATATTTTACTCTTTTCGTTTTTATTAGGAAGCACCTCCATCAATAGAAATTTCACAGCTTCCATGTGGCACTTGAGCCTGGCAAACAGGTTCTTCTGCAGCGAAAAAAATCCCGATCAACAGCTAGAATTTCTCCATCTGCCGTCCCGTTTCATCGAATCCCCTCCCTCTCAACGTCTCCATTCGATTCTTACCCTCGTGGCCTCTTCACCTCCATTGTTGAGCTTCTGAGTTTCAGCTTTCAGGCTTCGAGCGTCCTCTCCTGCGTCATCGTTTAGCTGCGCCTCTGCTTTGTGACTCTGGCAGCGTTGTTCTGCGTCTTCGTGAATTTGCCATTGCCAGGGTGTTTGTAGCATACCTTACTCCTTCATTCCCTCCATTCTCCCTGCTTCGTCTTCTTACTTCTTATCCTGTAAGTTTTTTTTAAAAAAAAAAAAAAAATTCTTTCAATTGTTCAGCTTCAGCTTTCAGACTCAAGAATTTAAGATGATGTAGTGGCTGTGGACCAAAAGTAACTCCACTCATTGGGAACCAAATCCTGTGTTCGCCTGAAGTCCTTAACTGCTATATATTGCAGAAATATAGTTCCAATATTTCAAGCAACAGAACCATGTAAAGCACTAGCACTGTTCAGACTATATTTAAGACTGGGTGCGAATTTAATGCTCGCAAGGTGTTCGAGAGAATGCGTAGATGGGAATTATGTGTAGGCTGAGTTCACTGCCCTTTGAATTTGTCATTTAATTACCTAAATTTGACATGACGTGTGCAGAACTCGGTAATGGCCGGCTACATCACTATTAGGGCCCTGGTTTCTTGGTCCTTTGTGGTTGTCCTTCTGATATGATATGAACACTGTGTTCTGCGACGTCAAGTTTAATTCCAATGAATTGAAGTTTAAATACTATGATTAAATATTACGAGGGTTTCCGTATTTGCTAGGGGAGTTGGTGGAACATAAAGATTTTTTTTTTGTCATTGCTTTAAAGGTGCGAAACTCTATTTGTTTTCATTGTTTCAAAGAGTTGGCCGTAGAAATCAGGGATTAGGATTAAAGCGGAGCTGCATGTCTTCTATGTTTTTTCTGTAAAGATGCTAATTTCATTTCACCAAAAAGAAAAAAAAGAATATGCTAATTTCACTCTTGACCTCCACTGCCTGCACAGGAAGTTTTTCAATGAACAGGCAGAAATCTTACATATTTTATCTTGTTAGTCTTGTTATGATGAGCAATTTGTTTGCACTAAGCTCTTAGTCTACATTATAGGTGTTAGCTCTTCATGAATTTGCATTTGCAATCACTGGATATTAAAGTTCAGTGAGTCGTCATGCTTGATTGTATTGTGGCTGTTTGATCTTGCCTTTTAGATTTTTGGTTCAATGTATTGATAGAAAGAAAATTCCTTCTATTTCTACTTTTAACACACAAAATTTGTTATTATGTCTCAATGGATTTTGCAGCTGCCTTTAGCAAGATAAATAAATATTAGTGTTTCGCTGCCTTTGGTAATGGGGAGTGAGGCAGATCCAGTAAAGGAGGCCCAAATAGTGGATGCCCGGGCTAGAAACATCAGTCATAATGTGAGGTGCACAGAATGTGGGAGTCAATCCATTGAAGATTCTCAAGCAGACATTGCGATTCTGCTTAGAAAGGTACAGTACTTGTAGTTTCTAATTAAGGTCACTTCTACAGCCCAATCCGGCAGTAGCTTTGTTTTGGACAATAATTGGTCAAACTTTTAGTATCATGAAAAATGGAATCGATATCTCCAGCATCTGTAATGACAGCGCTCTGACCATGAGTGAAATGAATTGGCCAATATGAATATTATGAGGGTTGTCTTTTTACTACTAATTCATGATGGTAGACTTCATTGGTTTAAACTATATGTTTAGAACATCTACTTGTAACCAAAATTAAAGTTGACAGAAATGGGTGCATGATTTTTCGCAAATTTGATTAATTAATCTACTATTCAGATTGTTTTTCTATTTGCAACTTATAAGTAATATGTAACAGGAAAGCTTAGGTTTTATTGGTCTCATATGTGTTTTCATTTCATTATTTGTTGCAATTACCTGTTATTTTGCTTTGCCTTATATAGCACTTCAATCCTTTTTTCAAGGTGAAGATGGCATTTCGATATTTGTTAAGTCATTTCTCACTTTATTTAGTTCTTTCATGCTTATTTTAGCTTTGGGATTTGATTTAAATTGCTTTCCATGTTTCTTCCTAGAGAATACGTATGCCCTTTTTTTTTTGGGGGGGGGGGGTAAAATAAGATAAGGTTCCCTCCCTTCCCCCTCCCACCTTCTTTTCCCTTGAATTTTAGTGGTTTAAAGAGATTCAATTTCTAAGTTTTATTAATATGCTAAGATTCCTTCTTGTTTCCCTTTTTACCCCTAGTCTAAGGCAATTGCTCATATGATAATTCTTAGGAAGCTAGCCTGGGCATATCAAGAAATAAATTGATGGATTTGGGCCTTGGGTTGGCGGAGTTAGGGAAGATCAAACAAAATAGGCCTGACTTGTTTGGAAATATAAGACGTTTAACTGCTTTCTTGTATTTGAAAACCAGGCTGATCAAATTTTTGAAGTTGCTGCCAGTTCTTGTGCGTTTTTCATCATCTTCTGGACAAATTTTCTGTAAAATAATTAGTCAACCATGAAAATTAATGGCTTTCTTTAGCAAGCCTTTGTGACATATAGTAATCCGTATTATTTGTATTATTTTGCAGTTAATTCGTGATGAGATTCGTAGTGGGAAGACAGACAAGGAAATATACAAGAAGCTTGAGGAAGAATATGGAGAGACTGTACTCTATACACCAAAGTTTGATTTGCAGACTGCAGCTTTATGGCTATGCCCTGTAAGTTTTCTCAGGATGATTGAGAACACTTGAATTGTTTTTGGCCGAAAGAGAACACTTGAATTTGTAACTTATTTTAATCTGATTCATATTCATTCTGATTCCAAAATAACTTGTTCTCTGGGAATAGCTTCTAGTTGCGGGTGCGGCAGCTGGTGTATGGGCTTACAACAAGCACAGGAAGAAGACTAATGTTCATATCATGGCTTTGAACCTTATCAGAGGTGTTCCATTGACCCCAAAAGAAAAACAAACCATGCTTGATCTTCTCACACCACCCCCATCACAGAATCCAAGAACTCCCTTCTGGTGGAGGAGATGGCGTGGGTAATGATCTCATACTGTCTCCTTTCAGGATTTGGATCAATCCCTGCATCGTTATGAAGTAAAGTTTTGGTTAGGGACTCAGAATAATAATCAAGAGTTATAGACATCATAATTTCTCTGTAGGACAGAAGGTGCCATCAGTGTTTTGTGAAGTTATAGCTAATGTATATATCTATAAAATTTAGTCTTTCCGACTTCCTTCTTCAGCTGTCGTGTATCTATCATTTGTCCTAGGGAGAATGACATTAAGGTCCCACAGAAGCCAAAATACAGCAAAAAGGTCCCCTGAAATGTCATAATTTTTCTGAAGTCCCAAAGGGACTTAGATGCAATTTTCAGAATCTACAAATTACTCTCTTGCCCTGCCCTAAGCCATCAGAAACGAAGACGCAGAATTTCATTTGGGTGAGAGTTCCAGCGCAATATGCTTGAGAAAGAAGACATTGGGAAAGAGGGAAGGAGCCATTGATGATGAAATATCCTCTCTATTACCATTAGTGAACTCCAAAGAGCTTCTCCACAAATTTTCAGGTGTGAAACTTTCTTTCTTCTTCTCTCCTACCTTTCTTGACAGATTGTGCTTTTGTTTGGAAATGGGAAATCAAAAAATCGTTTTTGTATTTTTGGGTTGCTTGTGAGTGGTTTTGGGAATGGGATTCACAAGTTAATCAATAGAAAAGTTGTGTTTTTGGTTGGTGTGTGTTGGTGATTTAAGTTGGGTGTGTAGGATGATCATGGGTGCTCTGTTTTTGGGTTGTTTGTGGGTGGTTTTGCTCTGTTCTGATGCTAGTTCAGTGGCAAAGGAAGAAAAAGATGAAGGTTACTGTGGGTGGAAACCCTTAGTACGAAATGGGATATTGTGTTGTCAATCAGGCCGCGATAGTTGTCAACGCGTGCCGCGACAGTTGTCAATATAGCTCCTTGCCTTGTTAATGACAGTTGCGTGATTCTTTATGCAGGTTTAAATAACTGATGGCGGGTACATCTGAAAAACATCTATTTTGCTTTATTCACATATGGGAAAAGTTTACAAATAATGGAGAAGATAATATGAGATATGTGGGAGAACATATTGAAGTCATTGTGGAAGGAGCCCAAATCCCAGCTGAGAACATATTGAAGTCATTGTGAAAGATGCAAAGAGCCTGGACATACTGTCAAGATATGGAAGAACCCAAATCCCAGCTAAGAACATATTGAAATTAGCTATTTTTTTGTATATGGATGTGAAGGGAATATTTTGTAAATGGGTGTGAAGGGAAATTTTTGTAAATGGATACACACCAATAGTTAGTTTCTTGTAATTATATGCAACCCCTATGTTTTTTGGGATGGGTTGTGAAATAGGTGTAGTTTCATGTATGTGAAGGTGTAAATGAAAGTTGACTATGAATTGGCATGTTAGATTCTGCTGTCATTTGAGTTGTCAATAGAACATTGTCACTTGTCAATTAATTTGCTGATGTAAGTTGTCAACAATATGAATTCAAGTTACATAACCTGTTTTGGTAACATATGATATTTTCAATCACTCTGTCATATTACATTTTTCGTTATATTGTCATATATAATAATTATTAATGAAGTGTTAATGGTGGCACGCTGACTTGTCAATAATGGCACACTGACTTGTCAATCGTGACACTATGACTTGTTAATAGTGGCACGCTGACTTGTCAATGGTGGCACACTGACTTGTCAATGGCGCACTCTGACTTGTTATCAGAAGTGGAGAGCTGAAAAGAGGTCATCCGCCGCGGCTTATGGGAGAAAACGCCACGGCGGCTAGAACAGAGAGGGAGGAGTGCATTTCTGTAAAAGGCGCCGCGGGGCATGACCGAATCCGCCACGGCGCCCAAGCTGACTTGTCAATGGTGGCACACTGACTTGTCAATGACGCACTCTGACTTGTTATTAGAAGTGGAGAGCTAAAAAGAGGTCATCCGTCACGGCTTATGAGAGAAAACGCCACGGCGGCTAGAACAGAGAGGGAGGAGTGCATTTCTGTAAAAGGCGTCGCAGGGCATGACCGAATCCGCCACGGCCCCAAGCTAACTTGTCAATGGTGGCACTATGACTTGTCAATGGTGGCACCATGACTTGTCAATGGCGCACTCTGACTTGTCAATGGTGGCACATTGACTTGTTAATGGCACAATGACAAGTCAGTGTGTCACCATTGACAAGTCATAGTGTCACGATTGACAAGTCAGCTTGGGCGCCGTGGCGGATTCGGTCATGCCCCGCGACGCCTTTTACAGAAATGCACTCCTCCCTCTCTGTTCTAGCCGCCGTGGCGTTTTCTCTCATAAGCCGTGACGGATGACCTCTTTTCAGCTCTCCACTTCTAATAACAAGTCAGAGTGCGTTATTGACAAGTCAGTGTGCCACCATTGACAAGTCAGCTTGGGCGCCGTGGCGGATTCGGTCATGCCCCGCGGCGCCTTTTACAGAAATGCACTCCTCCCTCTCTGTTCTAGCCGCCGTGGCGTTTTCTCCCATAAGCCGCGGCGGATGACCTCTTTTCAGCTCTCCACTTCTGATAACAAGTCAGAGTGCGCCATTGATAAGTCAGTGTGCCACCATTGACAAGTCAGCGTGCCACTATTAACAAGTCATAGTGTCACGATTGACAAGTCAGTGTGCCATTATTGACAAGTCAGCGTGCCACCATTAACACTTCATTAATAATTATTATATATGACAATATAACGAAAAATGTAATATGACAGAGTGATTGAAAATATCATATGTTACCAAAACAGGTTATGTAACTTGAATTCATATTGTTGACAACTTACATCAGCAAATTAATTGACAAGTGACAATGTTCTATTGACAACTCAAATGACAGCAGAATCTAACATGCCAATTCATAGTCAACTTTCATTTACACCTTCACATACATGAAACTACACCTATTTCACAACCCATCCCAAAAAACATAGGGGTTGCATATAATTACAAGAAACTAACTATTGGTGTGTATCCATTTACAAAAATTCCCTTCACACCCATTTACAAAATATTCCCTTCACATCCATATACAAAAAAATAGCTAATTTCAATATGTTCTCAGCTGGGATTTGGGTTCTTCCATATCTTGACAGTATGTCCAGGCTCTTTGCATCTTTCACAATGACTTCAATATGTTCTCAGCTGGGATTTGGGCTCCTTCCACAATGACTTCAATATGTTCTCCCACATATCTCATATTATCTTCTCCATTATTTGTAAACTTTTCCCATATGTGAATAAAGCAAAATAGATGTTTTTCAGATGTACCCGCCATCAGTTATTTAAACCTGCATAAAGAATCACGCAACTGTCATTAACAAGGCAAGGAGCTATATTGACAACTGTCGCGGCACGCGTTGACAACTATCGCGGCCTGATTGACAACACAATATCCCATTTCGTACTAAGGGTTTCCACCCACAGTAACCTTCATCTTTTTCTTCCTTTGCCACTGAACTAGCATCAGAACAGAGCAAAACCACCCACAAACAACCCAAAAACAGAGCACCCATGATCATCCTACACACCCAACTTAAATCACCAACACACACCAACCAAAAACACAACTTTTCTATTGATTAACTTGTGAATCCCATTCCCAAAACCACCACAAGCAACCCAAAAACACAAAAACGATTTTTTGATTTCCCATTTCCAAACAAAAGCACAATCTGTCAAGAAAGGTAGGAGAGAAGAAGAAAGAAAGTTTCACACCTGAAAATTTGTGGAGAAGCTCTTTGGAGTTCACTAATGGTAATAGAGAGGATATTTCATCATCAATGGCTCCTTCCCTCTTTCCCAATGTCTTCTTTCTCAAGCATATTGCGCTGGAACTCTCACCCAAATGAAATTCTGCGTCTTCGCTTCTGATGGCTTAGGGCAAGGCAAGAGAGTAATTTGTAGATTCTGAAAATTGCATCTAAGTCCCTTTGGGACTTCAGAAAAATTATGACATTTCAGGGGATCTTTTTGCTGTATTTTGGCTTCTATGGGACCTTAATGTCATTCTCCCTTTGTCCTAAGATATATGTTAATAGTACTCCTTCTAGTCCTTATTATTATAAGAGACTGTTAACTAGTTTACACATACTGACCGTAGTAGTTAAAAGCATTGAATTTGTCATAAAATTCAAATAATGCTCAATATTATCCTTATCAATGGTGTTAAATTTCAACATCATATTAATTTTTAATCTCTCACTAATTAAACATGGGCATATACGGGAAAAATGTAATGCTTATCGAAACTATCATAAGGTTTTATAAAAAGGACCAAAAATTTCTTCTAGAAAATTTCTTACAGTAAGGATTGGAGATAGTGTTTTTCTCTATTAGTTTACTCTAGCCGTCATAGTTTTCTATCTTAATTTTACACTTGATCCCGTGAGAACAAAGTCGGATCTTCTTTCGTTCTTGTCGAAGAAAAAATGTATCAGTGGATGTGGGCTCAAAAAAAAAAAAGGTCTGGATATTAGTATTGGATTCGCTAGCACCCATGTATTAGTCAACAAGGTAACATTCTACGTATGAAAGCATTTATTTTGCATAATAACATAATTTAATAGACAGGATAATTAGGTGTGGTGGCAGATGTTGTATTGTAGCAATAAAGCAGCTGGACCAACAAAAAAGTCGGTCCCACGCTGTAAGGCCCAGTTGGATCTGTTTAAATCTTAAGGTCAAATTCTATATGAGACATTTTTATGGGGAGGGGAAGTCATGAACGGAACCAGATTAGCTGGATGATAATATCCAAAGGAAAAGGAAGTAGCTTTAGAGGAATTATGAAATAGGACTATATATGGATATGTTGAATGGAATTTCATGTCAGATTACACTGTTGGATGAATTGGGAATTTTTAGATAAATTAAACTACATTAAATTCAATTAAATTAAATTAATCATGATATAAACATGTAAAACTTTCTCCTCCCATCAACATTTGAATGAAACCTTGTTCTCCCAATTTTAAGAGAATATGAGAAATTATTCATATGCCAGCCTTGCCTTTTGGCCCTGCCTTTGGATGGACTTATGAATCATTCAGAAGGATGGTGGCTGCGTCTTCATTTGTACTATACACTTGCCCTTTGTATTTCTATTGACCTATATAGCATAGAAAAAACCAAGAAGAAAAATAAAAGGTTCGGTGATAGATGGAATAATATTCACGTTGAGGATATTTGA